CCCCCCCCCCCACACACACACACACACTCACACACCACCAGATGGATTCTTCTTAGTAGAAACTTTCATCTTTTATCCAGAAGACTTCTTCAGTCTGAGGAGCTGCAACAAACTCAGTCTTATAAATAACACCTTCTCATGGTGGATCAACCAGTTTTTCTGGTCACCAGCAGCAAACTGGTTGATTGTTGGATTATTGACTGGATTACTGAGCCTGCATCAGGATGCTTAAAAGTACATTTTCCTCAAATGATTGTGGTGCCAGTAGGGTGGCTGAAGATTAATCTATGGTGACCAAGGCCACCATTGGCCACCCCCTGGCTCCACCATTGGGCCGGGTGTTGGGTAAAATGTCTCCCTCCAGTTGCCAGACTCTGTCACTCCGTGATGCCTTGGACAATAAAAAACAAGTAGGTAACAGAAAAACACCTCAAAACTTTCACAATTCAAATCCCTCTGTGATGGAGGACATCGGCCTACTGCTCTTTTATTTCTTTAGTGTCTTGATCTGAGTGTTATTTTTTATAGTTTTGCTTTTGCACAGTTTCTGAGTTGCACGTGAGCTGATGCACATTTTCAAGTTTTGAGCCTCGGACCCTGTTTACTGTTTGCAGGCCTCCAAATGCCGCGGTGGCCTTGTAGCTCTCCGTCTCGCGGAGCTGGTGCTGATATCGTTTCACTTTCTTCTTCTTTGGCCAAATTCTTGTTCGAGGGTTGTTGGAAAGGCGTTTTAGTGGAAAGTGGATCTTGTATTTGTGAGGGGAGTTGAAAGCTGATTGCAGTTTTTGCGAGGCATGTGTCCAGAGTTACAGACTTTAAAGACTGCAAGACGGGCTGCTAATGAAGACTTTGTCCTTTCAGTGTAAACTGTAGCTACTCATCTAATAAATGCTAACGGGATCTTAGTGTTGTCGTGTTCCATCTGTGCGTGTGTGGTTTCTTCCTCCTCGTCCTCTCCTTGTCTACAAAACAACATGAAGGAGGTTATAATTGGGAGGTCCAGAGCTCTGCCAGGTGGAACCACTTGTGTCTGAATGCAGGCTCTCTCTCAGGATCTCTTGTTTATTGTATCTCTGCTGCTCTCTCCTACTTTCCTCTCTGTTTTGTTACTTTTTCCATCTTCGTCCTACATGCACAGGTCTAACTACGACCATAAACCTGTCTGTAACAGGCTTTGGAAACACGTTGAGTTTTCCATCCTATGTGCAGTTTTCTAGTTGCAACCCTTCGTCCTGTCCCCCCCACCCCTCTGCTCCTTCAGCAACCTGCCAAGCGTTGCCATTAAAACTTCATTTACTGTCTTCCTTCAGTTTCCTCTCCTCCTGGTTTTTTCTGTTTTTGTCTCCCAGCCAAAGAAAGCTCCTCTCTGTGATTAGTTGGTTTTAAATTCTTTCTCCATCTTTATTTTTTCAGCAGGTTCTAGTGTCCCCAGTGGACACTGCATCTGGAAACATTCACTACCTTAATGTATCGTTTTAAATCCTCGTGAGCCGAGCAGCGCATTGGTGTCAAAGTTAGACAGAGGTTGGGTTTGCCGTTCTGTCACTGGTTACCCATTAGCCAGGGAACGTGTGACCGACTCTGGATTCTGTTCAGGCTGCTGGACACCCGACTCCTGGTCATAAACATCTACAGATTGTCTTAACCTTCTTGTTTTTTGTCCACCGTCCATCCGTTCATGCGTGCTGTGAGCATAACTTGAAAAATAAGTGAGATACTGACTTCTGTTTTGGTGTTGGCTGCATCTAGGTGCAAGAAAGGCCACTATCAAAAATTGGGTTTCCACATCAAAATCCAAGATGGCCACCCCCATATATAAATGTAAACAAACCACCCCATCGTTTGAGGTAACCATGCTTTTTAGTTTTTATATTACTCAAAACTAACTTCCTCAAATGATTGGGGTGGCCAAAAATTCATCTTTGGTGACCAAGGCCACCATTGGCCCACCTGTGGTTCCGTCGTTGCTCCTGGTGGAGGATGAAAATGCTCCTTCCACTCACCAGGATCCGTCACTCTGCGCTGCTTCGAACAAGGAAAAACAAAAAAACTACCTCTGTTCTTCTCCACAGTAACTCCTACCCACTTGAACATCTTGCACCAAAAACATTTAGGTTTACTTTCACTCTCTGTTCTGTTCCAGTAAAAAAAAAAAAAAACACTCATCTTGACAACTACAAACATTCACTACTCAAATCCCTCGGCGACGGGGAACATCGGCGTACGTCTTGTTTTTGAGTTGAAAAGTTTTTCACCCGTTCCTCTGCAGAAGCGTCGCCCTCGGTTTCTCTCGTTTCAGTTTATTTAGCTGTTTATGGAACAGTTTTCTTTTGGCAGAAGCTGTGACGACTAGAAAAACTTTGCAACCAGATCAATTCACTGGAGTCGTTTGGCAAAGCCGGTGGCACTTTTTGCCAGCGGCTTTCCTTGTTGATCTGAGACTGCGGCCTCCGAGCCCGGAGGATAATTATAGCACGGCTCGCCTCGGGAAGGCTTCACGTAAAGATCCAACACAAAGTGCAAAAGTCTGTTTGAATTTAACCGTTTCCCCAAACAGATGACGGACATAAGAGCGAAGCTCATGTGGTGATCAGTCTATCAAGCATCCCCGATTTCATTATTAATTACTTATGACGCATTAATTGAGTTTAGATCTACAACTGGTGGTTTTGGAGTCAGTCTAATTCAAGATGGTGCCACAGCTAATCGACCTTAGGGAACAGAAAAATGGCTGCCGGTCAAACAGACACGTATGGATTTAGTTTCTCTGGGAGGTTTTCTGTGAAGTTGCGTTGAACTCGTACGTTGCCAATGAAAAGTTACCGTTTTCAGTTTTTAAACGTTGATTTTCACCACGTGACGCTTCCACGAATCTGTTCAAAAGTGCAATTAAAAGAAAAAACGGACTCCTTTTGAAAAATAAAAATCATTTTCCTGAACATTTTATTTTGTTTTTACTCTTAAAAAGGAGCAGATTTGGAAACCCACCGCACATTTTAATGTTTTTAATAAAGCTGCTAAATTCTGATGAGTTTGACAACAAACTTGTCCTGAAATCTAGTTTTTCTACGCTCATCGAAGGCAGGACGTGTTGAACTAGAGCCCGACCGATATGGACATTTTGACTATCGCAGATATCGGGAGGGGGAGGAGACCGCCACTAACTGATGGCTGAACGCTTGTGAGCTTTGTCCACCCAGTGTTGTTGCAGAATGTAGTTCAAACACTTACTGATGAAGTTTGGATCTTTAGCGCTGATTAAAAACCAGAACACGACGCAGGTACTCTACACAGGTGTCTAAAAATACGACATGACGTTATCGTTGTTGAACAGGCCCTTACCTTCATCCCTCCTCTTCTTCTCTCCTCGTCGTCAAGGTGATTGACGGGAAGCTGGCTCCCTTCCTGTCCAAGGTGATCAAGTTCGCCAGCTCGCACGTTTTCAGCTGCAGTTTGTGCCGAGAGAAGGGCTTCATCTGTGAGCTGTGTCAGGACGGGCAGGTCATCTACCCCTTCCAGGAGAACGCCACCCGCAGGTAGAGGTCCTCACATCTTCTTCTCAACGTTTCTTCAACCAGAAACTCCAGTTTAAGACTCGACACGGTCAAAAAGTAACGATGTCCTGTCCACAGTTTAACAGATGATTCAAAAACAGTTTAGTTTTGATTGAATCGTCATTTTAAGCTTTTTTTGTTAGTCTTTTCTCCTTTACTGGATCAAATGTAGGTTTATTCTTGAGTGTTTTATTTTATTTTTATACAATCGTTAGTTATTTTCACCATAAAACCAAAGGTTCAACTCTCCGGTAGCTACAGGAAAGGGTTGGTGTTATGTGACCAGGATATTAGTTCAGGTGCTGCCGACACATTAGAGCCTGCGTGACCTGAATATACTGAATAATCCATGGAATAATCTGGAAACTTTAAAACATATTTTTGTTAAAATAACACGGTTGCTGAAAAAATAATTGGAACCACTTTAAACAAAAGTTCATCAATGATGTATGAATGATGGATAAACGAGTTATTCATCCATTTTTAAACACTATCATGTAGATTTATTATAATATAAGGGTTCCCTTGTTGTAAAGTTGTTCTGGATAGTCTGTTTGTTTTGTGTGTGTTTGACTGCAGAAGAATCAAAAACTAATTTTCCATTCCCTCTGCTGGATTTAGGTCAAAGAAGAGTTTAAATGATAAATAAAACTAAGATTTCTCTGCTGGAACTAATAAAACCTTCAATAAAACGTTTACAGTTTTAAATACGAACGTGTTGCTTCGACAGTAACACTGAGCCTGCTGTTTGTTTCTGACAGCAGTTGGCAGGTGTGCGTGTGTGCGCGTGCACGTGTGTACAAAGTCCAGAACATGGCTGAAAGTCGGAGTGACAGTCAACAGACCGATAAGAGCTGATCAGGAGTGAAGGACTCTGAACTGTGGTCTCACACACACACCTAGTCGTCGAGGTGTTTTCTGACTCGTGAAGTGTGAAGTGTTGACCGATAGCAGCTCAGTCTGCCGTCCCACAGACTCACACCCTCACACCGAGGACGCAACTACATGTGAACAGTTACACTTAGTCCCCTGTCGCAAATTTGTTTATGTAAACCGACCTCCCCATCATTTCAGGAAACTGTGCTTTCTAGTTTTTATATTGCCTAAAATATAAAAATGGCCTCGCACCCTCATACCTCTCCGACCTTCTTCATCCTTATGCTCCTTCTCGGGCCTTGAGATCATCAGACCAGCTGCTTTTGGCCGTACCAAAAACCACCTGAAGCTCAGAGGAGATCGGGCGTTTTCACTCACAGCCCTAAACTCTGGAATAATCTGCCAACATTCAACATTCGACAGGCCATCTCAGTCTCTATTTTTAAATCTCTCCTCAAAACACACCTGTACTCACTGACACATCTGTACTCACTGACACACCTGTACTCATTGAAACATCTGTACTCACTGGCACATCTGTACTCATTGACACATCTGTATTCACTGACACATCTGTACTCACTGACACACCTGTACTCATTGACACATCTGTACTCACTGACACATCTGTACTCACTGACACATCTGTACTCACTGACACATCTGTACTCACTGACACACCTGTACTCATTGACACATCTGTACTCACTGACACATCTGTACTCACTGACACATCTGTACTCATTGACACATCTGTACTCATTGACACATCTGTACTCATTGACACACCTGTACTCATTGACACATCTGTACTCACTGGCACATCTGTACTCACTGACACATCTGTACTCACTGGCACATCTGTACTCACTGACACATCTGTACTCACTGACACATCTGTAGTCACTGACACACCTGTACTCACTGACACACCTGTACTCACTGGCACACCTGTACTCATTGACACATCTGTATTCACTGACACATCTGTACTCACTGACATTTAACACAGGGTGATTTGATTTAGTATTTCATTGTTTCTCATTATATTTCATGTTTTTATGCTTTTATTCATGTTGCTGTAATATGTTGTTAATATTTGATGCTGTGATCTTTTTTGCTAAGCACTTTGATAACAGTTACTGTTTTAAATGTGCTATATAAATAAATGTGACTTGACTTGACTAAAAGTTTAGTTTCCTCAAATGACTGCGGTTGCCGTAGTGTAGATTAATGTATGGTGGCCAAGGCCACCATTGGCCACCCCCTGGCTCCACTCACCAGGATCCGTCACTCAGCGTCGTCTCTGATAAGACACATTTAATTCAGTTCAGTTTATTTCTATAACATCAAGTCACAACAGATGTCGTCTCAGGACACTGAACAAAAACATTAATATACCGGTACATAAAAAACACCAATTAGTAAAAGTTATCTTCTAAGAAGCAGCAGATTGTGTTGAATCTTCACTTCGTCACAGTCTCTCATCCTGAGCAAGAACAGAGGAGACAGTGGAAAGAAAAAACCTCCTTCAACAGGAAGAAACCTCCAGAAGAACCAGGCTCAGGACGAGCGGCCGTCTGCTTCGACCGGCTGGGTCTGAGAGGACAGGAAGTAGAAACAGACAGAATGACAGGTCCAGGTGTATCAAAGTTCATGCTCAATAATCCAGGTTAAAAATCCATCAAAGTTAAATCAGGTCCTCTGGACGGTTTCTTTTTTTGTTGAGATGTTTTGGCTTTCATCCAAAAGACTTCTTCAGTCTGAGGAGCCACAACAAACTCAGTCCCATAAGTAGAACCTTACATAGTGGACCAACCAGTTGATGATAAGATGGTTTCTGGAGTCCAGGTCCAGGTGAACTTTCTATAGGAGGAAAGACAAAAACACATGTTAAGATAGAAATAATTACAAATACAAACTGGTAGAGTAGAGCAAGTAAAGACAGCAGCAGAGAGAGGACATGTGGTCAGTTTGTCCTCCAGCAGTCTGAGCCTACAGCAACATAACTAAGTGATAGTTAGGAAACGCAAGCCAAACCTAACTATAGGATTTATTAAAAAGGAAAGTCTTAATCCCAGTTTTAAAACTGGACAATGTGTCAGCCTCACAGACAGAAACTGGAAGTTGGTTCCACAAGAGAGGAGCCTGAGAACTGAAAGATCTTCCTCCCATTCTGCTTTTGGAAACTCTAGGAACCACAAGTAAACCTGCAGTCTGAGAGTGAAGTGCTCTGTTAGGAAAATATGGAACAATAAGATCTGTAATATAAGATGGAACTAGGTTGTTGAGGGCTTTGTAGGTTAGAAGTAAGATTTTGAATTCTCTTCTGGATTTGACAGGGAGCCAATGGAGAGAAGCTAAAACTGGAGAGAGATGATCTCTCCCAGTAACTCCAGTTAAGACTCTGGCAGCAGCATTTTGGATCAACTGAAGACGTTTTAAAGAAGTATTTGGACACCCAGATAATAAACCATTGCAATAGTCCAGTCTAGACGTGACAAATGCATGGACCAGTTTTTCTGCATCATCTTTAGATCAGATGTTTCTAATGTTAGTGATATTACGCAGGTGGAAGAAGGAGGTTCTAGTAACGTTTTTAATGTGGGGGATAAAAGACATGTCCTGATCAAAAATAACACCAAGATTTTTAACATTAGAGCTGGAGGACAGATTAATGCATCTAAGGAGGGAGAAAGACTGAAACATTCATTCCTAAGGTGCTCAGGTCCAAAAACCAAAACCTCAGTCTTGTCTGTTCAACAGGAGAAAATTAAGGGTCATCCAGGTTTTTATGTCTTTAAGACATGCTTGTAGTCTAAGTAGCTGATTGGATTCATTGGGTCTCATGGACAAATATAATTGTGTGTCATCAGCATAACAATCAACATTTATCCCATGCTGTTTAATAACTTTACCTAATCAGAGTCAAAGTCAGAGTTTCTTTATTGTCATTCGCACCTCATGTGGTACATGTGGTGGAGCGAAATTATGTACACAAGGTCCCAGTTACATCCAACAAATGGAAGCATATATAAAGTAAAGGGTATTGGCCCAAGCACTGAGCCCTGAGGAACTCCATGACTAACTTTGGTGTATGAAGAAGATTCATTATTTACATTTACAAACTTTAATCTATCAAAAAAATATGATTTAAAACTTTAGACAATGTGCCGAGGAATCACTTTCGTCACCCCAGCTCCAAGCTCAAGGTCACGAGTCAAGGTCAAAGGTTAGACAAGGTCTTTGTTCTTCGGGTCATTGCTATAGATTGCGGTGTAGTAGCTTGTCGATGGGCGTATAACAGGCTGTATGTTACTCTTGTTATTGAAACAAACACATTGTCCATCCAGACGAGCAGGTTTTCTCCACATTAATTACCTTTAATTTAATTTAATTTAACTTTCACCATCTCACAGGCAGCAACTGTTTGTGTTACTGATCGAAAATGGCAAGAAAAAATAAAAATTCTGAGTGTTTGATCAAGCAGCTTGCATTCGAACATCTGCTTTTTGAAAGCCAGGGGTTGATGTTGAGTTCAGGTTGTCAAGCTGTCCTCTTGTCCATGCACATTATTCTGATCCCCACCTCCACCCAATCTGATCTGTCACATCTGCTGTTTTTACACGACCATCAACTGCTTCTGGTTTAAACAGGGACCTGAGTAATACTTTTATTACGCCTCATATTTGATATCACAATAAAGTTTCCTTAATTCCTTGAATCCTTTGCCACTGCAGACGCTCTCACTGCTTCTAAAGATCTGCCCAGATGTTTTGTTTGAACTCGGTGCTGTTGGTCTGTCTTCGTGTTGGTAGGTGTGACGGCTGCGGCGCCGTGTTCCACGCCGAGTGTCGTCAGAAAGCCCAGCCGTGTCCCCGCTGCGTCCGCAGAGAGCTCCACCACAAGCGGCCGTCGTCCTTCTGGTCGCCCGACGATGACGACTCCTCCGGCTGCTTTCACCTGCCGTACCAGGACACCTGAGACCGGAGGCGCACATCCTGAACCAGCGGGGCACCGGCCGACCGCTGCGCTGGACACGCACGAGGCCTGGAATCTGAGTGTTTGACCTCGGTGAGGTTCTGGGCAGGTACTGCTGAATGAACTGCTGCTTTCCTGGTGGAACCTGTAAACATCTCCTCACATCGTTCCTCCTAACGTCATCCCTGACTTTTCCTACTCCAGGGCTGAAACCTTTAAAGCCACAGCTGATCATTTAGAGTTTAAAAAAGTTACTTGTCTTGGCAGCTTCTTGTAACCTCCTGACCTTAAAGCCGTGCTTCAGTTTATGGATGAAACTTTTAGTCAGCAGGCAGGAAAGTAGAGACATTTGGCAAGTAATTGATCCAAAAAGCACAAGATTTGCTGCTTTCTTTTAGAATAAGAAGCCTAATGGGGTTTTTGGCATCTTTTTCACAGTAAGCTGCAAAGCACTAAAATATATTCTTGTAAAATAAAACAATGCACCCATGCCTGTTGGTAGGTGCTAAATACCATTTAGACGTCACCTTCTCTCACACTGAAGCCTTTCAAGTTCCAACCATCTCAAGTGAAATGAATTATGTTTAAAAAAAAGTCCAGTCCTTTTGAACACTGAATCATTTCTCCTTCAAATAATCTCGGGTTTCTTTAAACTCCCAGGTTGTTCTGATTTCCTCACGTCGTGTGTTAACTTCATGTTGATGGAGGAGGAGCAGCTTTTCTTCCTGATCACTTGCACTGAAATAAATCATTTTTTAAAGATCAATATGAACAGAAAACAGAAACGGAACAGAAGATAATCGCAGATACAGCTCAGTTAAGTTTTAAAACAACATGAAGTGTAAACCTGCTGGATTGTTTTTGTCCTGAACATGATCATGATGATGATGATGATTAGTAGTAGTAGTAGTAGTATTATGGTTATTATTATTATTATTATTATTAATATTAATAATATTATTATTAATAATATTATTAGCAGACTAAAGATTCATAAATACACAGAGAGAGAACAATTATTTTAATAAATATTTTCAAGTTTATTTGTGTTTAAAAACCACTGACTGCTGAACGTGAGCATCAGTGACCCCCCATGACCTGAGAAGGAAGAAGTGAGGAAAGATGATGGATGAAGGGTGGACAGACACATGGACGATTGGACAGCTGGATGGATGGATGGACTGAAGGATGGAAGGAAGGATGGATGGATGGATGGATGGATGGATGGATGGCCAGACGAACGAATGAACGGACGGATTGATGAATGGACAGATGATTGGGTGGACTGAAGGATGAATGGATGGACCGATGGACAGACAAATGGATGGTTGGATGGACTGATGGACTGATAGATGAAGAATGGATGGATTAATGGACGAATGAACAGATGATGGACAGACACAAAGACAGATGGATGGTTGGATGGATGAAAGATGGACAGACAGATGAAGTATGGACAGATGGATTAAGGATGGGTGGATTGATGGACAAATGAACAGATGATGGACAGACAGAAGGATGGATGGATGGTTGGATGGTTGAAGGATGGTTGGATGGATGAAGGGTGGACAGATGGATGAAGGATGAATGGATGTTTGGATGGATGAAGGATGGATGGATGGATTGATGAACAAATGAACAGCTGATGGATGGACACAGACAGATGGTTGGATGGTTGAATGACAGACAGATGGATGAAGGATGGATGGATGGATGGATGGATGGATGGACGACTGAACAGATGATGGACGAACACAGACTGATGGATGGATGGTTGGATGGTTGAAGGCTGGACAGATGGATGAAGGATGAGCAGACGGATGAAGGATGGTTGGATGCTGGACAGATGGATGAATGATGGGCAGACAGATGAAGGATGGTTGGATGGATGAAGGATGGACAGATGGATGAAGGATGGTTGGATGGATGAAGTATGGTTGGATGGATGAAGGATAGTTGGATGGATGAAGGATGGTTGGA